AGCAATTTTTGCCAATCCTCTTCACAGCCCAACATTTCAATGGCAGGAATACCACAACCTCCACAAAGACTATATGCAAAAAATTCCTGGACTGATGACATGAGAGTGATCTGCGAGACCATCTTCTGTACTGCGGTTGTAGTGGAAAAGTCTGCGGTCATGGTGTCCACGTAGTTAGGAACTTTGACATTGGCTGATATCAACTTGGATATTTCGTCGAAGAAGGAAGAGTAATTCACTTCGGTCAGTGGCCAGTCAGGAACTTCTACCTCTAGATTCTTTTTTCCTTCGTGATCCACAAACGTCTTACGAACGTTTGGGTTCCTACAGTTAAGATCAATAGCTACAGCAATTCGTCTAATCACACAGAACCACCAGTCATCGGCAGAGGTTCCCAGATTGTAGTGGTTGTTGTAGGCCATTTGCACAGACTCAAAGAAGCCAACATTATGCTTGGAGTACACTTTATCTGAAGAGCCAAGAACCGCTCTTCGGTCTTGAACTACTTCCCTGTATTTCCATCCATACTTAGCAAATTTTTGGGTCTCTCTTTGCTTTTTGGTTTCGTATTCTTTAACATTGTAGCCTAGGACAGACAATGCATCTGTTCGTGTCAAAGTGCCAGTACTATTGTGTCTAGAGCTTTCTGCATGATTCCAGTCTGCAAATATCTTCTGAGGGTCGGTTGGAGCAGGACGATCGTTGGACAATACAATGTGCTTAAAAGTCAAATCTCCTTTGACTTCTCCGGCCATTTCTTTATGTATTTTACGTTAATATTTGGTGTCGTATTGTGACAACGACGAAAAGCTACACACACGAGACGAGCTGTAAAATATGTATGTCCCGTAAGCATCCCGTATGTACTTGAAATATTCCCGCCAAAACTACAACCTCGTTCCCACGGCTTCTCTGCATTTGCACATAGCATGGTGTGGAGTTTTTAGTCGGACTAGCCGAAGGCTAGAAAATTTGAAATTCAGTCTCTCGGAAATGCAAGTTGCAGCGTTTTGTGGGCCTTTTGGTAACTCTTTATTGAACAGATTTAATCGGAATTCATCATGCAGTATTTATGAAACAAAGAAGCTACACGTACAAAATTACGTACAAAAATAACATTACTTTTATATTTTTTGCACAAAATCAGTCGTGCGAAATCGGCTCTGAGAGGCTAAGATAGTATTAGTGATGAAGAACAAAAAGCATTGGCAAAATTTTACCGAGGCGAGTGCCTCGGTTGGCCTCTTACTAGCTACGGCCCTGATTACATGACCTTTTAGGTCAAGTTTATTTTAGTCTCAAGAGAGTTTGGATATTTTGAACTAGACCAAGGGCGCTAGAACTGAAATTATGACTTATAAGATCCAAAAATTGCTTAATTTATCCAACATAAGATAGTCGATAATAAATTGTAAAGTTTTACTTATCTGAAATATACACTGAAATGTCATCTTAGACACTAACTAGACGATCAGCGATCGCAAACATGGGCTTCCTCTGGTAATGCATATTCTTGGTACTGGCATTTGTAATTTCGACCAGATGAGTTTATTAAGAAAATTTTTTGCATTCATTAGTTTTTAACTCGAAGATTGTGAAACAATCGAAGAGTTATTGGAGGGGGACGAGTCTGTAGAGGATGTTAAAATACTTATATCCCTTTGACGCACAGATTCTGTGTTCTGAACACAAAAGACATCTCSCCGGCGCTCGCCGATGTTTATCCAGAACCGAAGTTAAATTATAAAACTATATTCATAAATAGTTTACTTAAAATTCTATTCGTTAAGTAATTATATTTTGATTAGTCGTTATATCTTTCTGTATTCGTCTTCACAATCAATCTTCGAGTTGTGTTGCCATTGGCGGCTTGATTGTTACAGTCAACTCTCTCGTAATCGACCACCTCGGGATCAGGAAAAAGTGGTCGCTTACGAGAGATGGTCGCCTACGAGAGAATTTTTTTACATAGTTTAAATGGGAAACGGGAAATTTGAAAGGTAGTCGCTTACGTGATATGGTCACTTACGAGAGTGATCGTTTAAAGAGAGTTAATTTTAGTATATTTATTCAGGGTCCGTGTAGAGTATCAAAAACGAGTTTTCAATTCAAGCACTTTCCAAGGATTTAAGGACCTGTTTATAGTACCAGCAACTTTTAACAGGAATTAATAAACTGCTCACCCATCCCTAGCTTTTGCTGCCATGCCAAAATGAAATATTCAGAGTATGAAAATGATAATTTTTAAAATGTTTGGAGATAATTTGTGCAAATTTAAAGCTCTCCTCAAGTCAATTTTTAACGAAAGATGAAATTGGCAATTTATTATGAAAGTGGGTTTGGTATAGTAACATTGTTCTTTTTATCGAAACCATTAAAGCTTAGGCCTTCCTGTTTTGACAGCTGTTTTTCTTATAGTAATTTTCAAATTGACAAAATTTGAAATGGGAGAAATTAACTATTGCGTTTGCGTTATCCCTGCGCATATTAATATAAATTCAGTTATATATAAACAAGGCATAATATTTAGGAAAACAAGTTTATTATAAATACAACATAGTATAGTTTATTGTATCGATAGAACCACTTGTAAATGAACAATAACTTGTCATAAAACGGAAGAATAATTCTCAACACTTTTATAATTGTGCAACATATTTCAACGGTAAAGTGAATAGGATAAATGTTTACAATTTCATTCAATATTGAAGACATTACAGTGTTCGGGATAGTTATTATAACGATAAAAACACTTGTAAATGAACAATAAATTGTCATAAAACTGAAAAATTAAGTTCTTGACATCTTTGTTATTAATTGTCAAACATGATGCAACGGTRAACTTGTTAGATAAATGTTTAGAATCTTAGAAAATGTCCAAGACATTATTGTTTGCCGTGTTGTAGAGTAGAGTACGATCGACAAGACTATATAACAATTCTCTACCTAAAGCCATGTGTTCCATTGTGWGAACTTCAGGATATATCTTTTCCAGTACGGCTTGATGAATTTTGAAGATAACTTCTTGGTCATCTAYGTTGATGACTATTTTAGCCACGACTTTTGTCTGGCAGGACTCCTTTTTCATCATAAAACCACAGTGTTCACATGTTTTGACATCAGTGCATGTGGCCTGGATGATGCTTTTGCCGCAATGGACACATTCTGAACACTTGGATATGCTGTGGATGGATGCAACCTCGGTTATCTTGTGGGTTTGTTGTAGCGGCACATCATCTTGATCCGTCGGTAGATCACGTAAGACTTGGTCATCAAGTGGTTGTATTGTGGTACGCATAGTGGTGGCTAGTTTCTTTCTTCCACTCCAGACTCGGACTTGAACATTGGACAATGTATATACATGGCCTATGGAAAAATTTAGACTTTCTCAGTTAACGCAACACAGTTTATCATTTCTTAATACTTRATACTTACCAGTTTTGACATTGTCGATGTTAGATTCCCAAATATCCATGGGAATCGTACCAGATCCATCATCCAAAACTGCTTCTAGAAGTTTAAGTCTTTTACGAGGACTTCCAACCATTCTCTGGTCTTTCAAACCAAAGATTTTGCCCTTGACCGTGACAACGTCCCATTCTTTGGAAGTAYTGAGAACATCTAGCACTTGGAAAACTGGCGTTTGTACTTCTGTTGGGGTTTGATACTGAAATGAATATTCGTCTTGTTGAGGGGTAGTTATCGCGKTCATGTCGTTCACTATAATTTTGTCCTTGGCTGGCGTGAAGGTGAATGAGGTGAGCTTCACTGGAGACCTTCTCTCTTGACTTTCGTGAAGAAGAGGCCTTTTATGAGGGCTATAAAGTAGTGCGTCCACGTTCTTTGTAGCCGTTTGAAGTTGAAACGAACAATAATCCATGGTATTTCCACGATTTCTTCTGAGTTTGGAGAGTTCGTGAACATACCCAATAGTCATGTTTTCGACCATCGGGACTTTTGGTCTGTGAGTGTTTTCTGCTGACTCGCTGATCTGTGTGGACGCTGGCCGTTTTTCCGACTTTGCAGGTGAAGTACTCGAAGAGATTTTGATTGGCGATTCGGTAGGTTTCTTGCGGGTTGATTTTTCCGCTTTCTTTGCAGACATTTTTAAAGTTAAAACTTTCCAACTGAAACTTCAGCTACTGAATGAAAATACACGTGTTGGAGACCTTTTTATAGTGAGAGTGAGGATCGAAAATGGTTGGATGTGATTGGCTCGTTGTGAAAAAATTTCATTTTTGATTGGTTGGAAATTTATACAAAATATTGACCAATGAGAATTTGTGATTTTCGATCCTTGATCCGGTGAAGCTACGACTAAAAGTTGATTTTAAGAACGTAAACAGCGTTAATAGCATTTTGTCTCGCTAATTAAGTACTTTGTAATAAGATGAAACTAGTTTTAATATCTTGTGTGCACACAAGTTTTAAAATGGATAATTTACGAAAATCGTGAGAGCATAGTTACTAGATACCTGGTGTGAGAGTTACTAAATTACTTACCTCTGAGAAAACAATAAACTTCAGTTTCTGATTGGTTCAAACTTTCACATCATATTGACCAATGACAACTGATACTAGTAGATTTAGACTGTCACTTGATACAAACCATAGTTTATAGAGACTATGTGCAAATGTAAGTTTATCAATAATTATTTGAGTGCATCGTGAAGAATTCATCATAAAGTCAATCAAAAAATGGCTTCAGTCATTTCCAACTGGCTAATGTGCTATGCAGAGCAAGCTAGCGAATTTTGCTAATGGATGGTGAAGAGAAAACAAAAGGTATGTTTTAATTCACGTCATTATGTTAGGTGTTTGAAATAATTGAGCTAATGTTGAATGGATAGAAATTTGTACTGCATCATGATCAGAATAATAAACAGGTATTACTGAGCAAGTAAAGGTATTGTTGTAAGTTTCTTTTACATAAACGTGATCGAGTAGACTCCCAGAAGATATAAATGTTGGACTTTGTACAATTTGACGATACTTTAATGATTCCATCAGCGATTCAAGTGATTTTATCTCATTTTGATCATAAACATTAATGTTGAAATCTCCTAGAATTATATCAATGTTATAATCAATTAATATTTCTCTAATATTTTGAATGAATTGTGAAATATTAGAATGTTTTTTTCTGTAAAGTAATATAATAGATTGTTTTATTTTATTGACATGGTCATTGAGCACACATTTAATTGCATTTATAGCTCTGAAATATTCATATTCCTGGATTTGGACGTTTTTAGTACATATTGCTAAACTAGAGAACCTATCAGAAGAATGATCTTGCCTTAAGAGTGTAAACGGTTGTAAATTTTCGATTATTTCATTACCATTGGTATTAGGAAAAAGTTGTGTCTCTGTAAAAGCTAAAACATCACTATTGAATACAGCAGAATCATATTTTACGTCAATACTATGTTTGTTAAGAGACCTGATGTTAAGTAGAGTAATCGTCAATGTGTTTGCTGGGTCACTTATATTCTGTTGAGTAGAATCACTTATGTTGAGTTTTGTGAAGTCTTTTCTTAATCGTTCATACTCATCATGTACTTTTGCATTTGCCTTGACATGCTTGTGTTCAATTTTTCCAAGTATGTGAATACCTTGCAACGTTTTTGCACGACTTAATGCAACATATACCTGTCCATAGTTAAAGTTTTTTTGCCTGTTTAAATCAAAGCTAATTACAACTCTGTCTAAAGTCAGTCCTTGAGTTTTATGTACTGTGCAAGCCCATGCTAGTGTCAATGGAAATTGGGTTCTTTGTATTTCAGGTGAGGATGGTTTATTAGGTCTGACTTTAATCTTTATCAATATTGGTTCTATAGGTACCACTTTGTGTTGTTTGGCATATTGATTATTACCATTATTGATCTTGTTTTCTCCTGCTTTGTTATCATCAAACTTGATGTATATTATTGAAGGTTTTTGAGTGTTTGGATTGGCATCTATTTTTACTACAGTACCAATTTGACCATTAATTAGCCTGTCTGCAATGTCAATATTAGATGTAAGCATTACTCTTGCAGTTTCTTTTAAATGGAATTCATAATCAAGTCCACCTGTTTCAGATCTTCCTCTCGACAATACTCTGTCAATATCTTGTTTGTTTACATTCTTAGGATATTCATCAGTTGCTCTCACAATAAACATTGGTTTAGGTATTTGCTCTAATTTCATTCTGTTGTGTTCATCTACTGGCTTATTTTCTGCCCATATATGTAGAGCATCTGAGGGATAATTAGCATCTGTTTGGCAAATTGATCTTGATTGAATACACTGAATGTCATGATCTGTTTGACTTGCCGTTCTAAATCTATTCAAAAGTGCACTGAATGGTTGGTCATTTTTTTGTCTCATTATTTCTGTGAGCTCCACCATTTGAAAGATGTGCCATGGATGACAAAGATTAAATGCATCATTTTTGTAATTTTCAAAAACTAGTCTTCTACGAATTGGTGGTAATTGATATAAATCTCCAACTGCAATAATACTTATACCAGCAAATAGTTGCGAATTAGTTGTACCAAAGATTTCCTTTAATCTTTGATGAATATGAAGGAGAGTTGAATTAGCAACCATTGATATTTCATCTACTATTAATAACTTTAGGTCAGACAATGATAATCTGAGTTGTGTTCTCTTTTGGTCTGACATGGCTGGTAAGATATCACCAGTATTTATAGGTATTGCTAACGCTGTGTTTATTGTTGTACCATCAATATTAATAGCTGCTACCCCAGTAGGTGCTGTAAGTAACACTGTTGGTTTGTCAGGATTCATTGGTGCATATCTAAAGGTCTTCGATACTGTGTGATAGATTGTTTTAATTAAATGACTTTTTCCTGCTCCTGCACCACCAGTTATAAACAGATATAATGGATCAACTTTTTGTGGCTGTAGGCTGTTCAAGTTTTTCATTTTATTTCTACACCATGACAGGACATTGTTGTATGCTGTACGTTGCATTTTGTTTAAAGTTCTTACTGATTGACGTAATTGATCATCAGATATCTCTGACGGTTGATTATATGTTGCTATTGCTGCAGGTGCAGGACTGGAATTTTCTGTATTTGTTGCAAAGTGTGATGGTTCTTGAACATTGAATTCCTCATCAGCTGAAGACTCATTTGTATTTAGTTGTAGATCAGCATTTTCCTGATCATTCATTGAATCATATGAATGTACAACTCTATTTTCACTATTTCTTAGCTGTTCTAGTGCTTCTGTTATTGCTTCTGAGTCTGGTTCAAACAATTGTTTGTTCTCATGTACAATATCTTGTACTCCTGGCTCATAGAATTTGGATGCATATGTATTGTTACTTCCGAGCAGATCACTTTCATCTATCCATGGGTAATATAGCATAAGCAGATGATGAAAAAACAATTCAGGTTCTTTTGTCTTATTTGGCCTATGATACCTAATAACTGCTTTGACTYTTCTACGTTTCATGATCTCTTTAGTGTTCATAAGTCTGATTCTTTCAGGCAGTAATGCATCATTTGGTTTATTACTAGATGAGCTATGATTTATTTCAATCAAGTCATCAGTGAGTACTTCTGGCTGTGCATCGATAGTTTCACTGTTTTCTTTTCTGTAATCTTTATAATAATAGGCTGCAAATTGTGCAAGACAGAGGTTTTTTATAATCGGAATTGAGACTGGTCTAATGCTGTAGCGCTCTATGATGTTGGATTTGAAAATATCTGTGCTGTCGTCATCCAATTCATCTAGTTGTTCTTTTGTTTTTGTAATTCGTATGCGTTTTTCTGCTGTATCAGTACTTACAAAGACTGTTGCTGGAAATATTTTTCTTAACCAGAGCTCTGGCATACATCTATATACACATTCTTGTGAACTGACTTCTCTAGTTGACAGAAATGCTGCACCAATTTTCTTTAGTCCATCTCTAATGTTCATGTTTTCAGCTCTTGCTTCTTTCGCTGCACTCATTATTGCCTGTGAACATTCTGTTTCATCTTTTGTGAAATATGAACAAATATAAGTTATGCACTTATAGTGATCAAAGACTGGCTGGAGATCAACATTGGCCTTGAATCCTTTTATCCCAGCAATAAAGTAGTTGTTTATAAAGCAGCTATTAATAGGTCTTCTTAAATGCAACTCATAGTTACTGTCAGGTGAAATTGCTAATGCTGAATAATACTGTTCTTCTGTTATTCCAATAGATGTGAATATGTCTTGCTCGGTTAGTGAGGAATCATAGGTAGATATACTTGGATTTAATACTTCATTTATTTTCTGCTTCACTAATGAAAGGATTTCTTGTCTTCTCTCTAATATATTAGTTTTTACAATCTCATCAATGTCATCAGAAAGAGGTTCCGCTA